GAGCTGTTGTTCACCATCTTAGCTGTAGAGGGCGCAGCGTCACTGGCCCTCATGTCAGATCCGAACCGGGACCCTGCTGCTCAGAGCTGGTGTCCCAAGCCAACTCTTAACCAACATGCCACTCGGCCAACCCAGGGTCTTGTTTTCTTATCCATTTAGCCATTCTATGTCTTTTGATTGGAACATATAATCCATTTACATTTGAAGTAATTATTGCTAGGTATGTAGTTATTGTGATTTTATTATTCATGTTTTGACTTTTTTTTTATTCTTAAATCCCTTTAATTTTTCTTGTAATACTGGTTTGGTGGTGATGCACTCCTTTAGCTTTTTTAGTCTAGGAATAAATATTTGTGTAGTTACAAAGTGAAATGTATCAAATGTACAAAGCAAGGGAAATTTAAACAAGTGCAGCTTTTCTCCATGTCTGTTCAACCTGTTTCCTCCCTCCCTTTATAGATAACCATTGTTAAAAATTATGGTTTATTCTATTATTTTTTTAAATTTGTAATCAGATAGGTATGTGAATATATAAAAATGCATCTCTCCTCTTAAATAACCATAGTTTACAATAACCTTTTTTCTACCTTATTCTTACCATTCTATCCTGGAGATCATTTCATAGCAGTATTTAGAGATAATCTGCACTCCCATTTTTTTAAGCAGCATAATTGTCTGTTGTATAGATGCATCATAGTTTATTCAAGCGGTCTCCAATTTATGGACATTTGGGTCTATTCCAATTTGTTTTTTTAAATTTTTTTATTGGGGAAGGGGAATAGTGTTGGGGAATCAGGTAAGGGGTTACAGCCAAGTTGTTGTCCTTTAATCTTAGTTCTGGAGGGCACAGCTAGCTTAGCTCCAAGTCCAGTCACCACCTGGCTGCTCCTCGGCAGTTCAGGACAGATCAGCTCAAGGTGCTGTGTTCAATCTTAGTTGCAAGTGGGCACAGCCCACCATCCCATGCAGGAGTCGAACCGGAAACCTTGTTGTTAGGAGCACATGCTCTTACCAGCTGAGTCATCCTGCCACCTGTTGGCAGCTCAGTAGCAGCTCAATTCAGCTGCAGCTCACTGGCCCATGTGGGAATCGAACCAGTGACCCTGTTGCTCAGAGCTCCCGCTCTTAACCAACTGAGCCACTCGGCCGCCCTGTCCCCCACCCCCCGAATTTTTTGATATTACAAATAATCGTGCAGTTGGTAGTCTGGTGCATGTGCTTTTATATTTTGCTTATGTACCTATGAGATAGAATCCTAGAAATAGGATCGATAAATCCATGAGTAATACATATGTAATTTAGCTAGATGACATGAAATATTCCAGCATAGGGATTGTACCCCCTTGCATCCCCATATGTAGTGCGTATGATTATTCTTTTCCTCATAGCCCAGCCAATAGAGGATTTTGTCAAACTTTTGCATAATACGAGTGGAAAAGTATCTCATTGTAGTTTTAATATGCATTTCTCTTATGTTAAGTAGGATGTACATTTGACTTAATGTTCCTTAACAACATTTCACTAAATGTTACTAATTTGTTTTTTGTTTTTGTTTTTTTCTAAAGAATGTAAGTGCAGGAGAGAAAGTTCTCTATGGTCTGTATGGCATCGTGGAACACAGTGGCTCAATGAGAGGCGGTCACTACACCGCATATGTAAAAGTGAGAGCACCCTCCTGGAAATTACTGGAACATATCACTGGAAAGAAAAATGTATCTGGTATGCTATTCTAAGTTTACTTTATTCTTAAAAACAAATGAATTCACTCTTCCTTTTCTGGAAGAGGTAAGTGATTTCATGGATAGCTCTAGTGGATTCACTTTGTTAATGTTAAGTAAGAAATATGTTTAAGAGTATTTAGATAATTTTAAAGAATCTTAAATATAACAAGACTGTATGTACCCTTCTAAGTGATGTGAAGTGACAGTTTCTCAAGGTGTTAAATCATCAAGTATTGAAGCAGAGTAGCATTTTATTTAATAATACCCAAAGTTTTTGAAGACATACCAGGCCCTCAGAATAGAGTTAGAGTTGAAAATTCGCTGACTTTGCTTATGGAGCAGCAAACTTTTTTTTTTTAACTTTTAGTGAAAATGATTTTTTCCCTTGAGCAATAAATATTTGTGAGGCTATCTAATATTTCACTAGATAAAGTAAAATGATACTAATATTAATGCTTTGATAGAGTTAGTTCATTTTGGAAGATTTTTAACCCAAGAAGAAACAGACTTATGCAGTAAGATCTAGCACTAGATAACTATAGTTTGTGATGAAAGTGTTGTTTCTCATAATATAAAGGAAGAACATACTGATTGTAAAATTATACTTATTTTTGTCTTGTTAGGTTTGAAAGAACCTGATAGTGAATCAGCAGGCCAATGGGTCCATGTTAGTGACACTTATGTGCAGGCGGTTCCAGAATCAAGAGCACTTAGTGCACAAGCGTACCTTCTTTTTTATGAAAGGATATTTTAATTGTTAATTAAGGGTAATGATTGTTTAGATCACTTTTATTTAAATGCTGCAACGATAACCATAATATGCAATGTGCCTTTGTAGTCTTTTCTGTAAGAATAGCATGTCCCTCAAATGCTCCTGAACATTTTTACCATTTTGGTGAATCCTTTTAAAGTAAATTAAATTTACTCAATGCTTTCAAATTTATATTCTTAAAATAAATGTAAACACATCTTTAAAAGGAATATTTGTCCTGGAACAAAACCAGAATTTACAGTAGGGGAAACTCCTTTATGATGTGGGTTATTGTTGCAAGCATTCAGAAATGATGCTGGCTAAATCAGATCATTCCTTAAAACAGTGTTTCCCAGTGTGAGCCACATACCGCCTTTCTGAGCTCATATGTATAGATTTGTCTCTTATGCCATTATTTACTTATTTTTAACCTTATTTTTTTAGCCTTTTTTAACCATAGCCCTGTTTTGAGCGTATTCCACATTTTATGTGCCAGTTGTATTTGTTCTAATAAATATTAAAATAAATATATAACTATTAAAGACATATTGTTCATCCATGTAGCACTTCACTTAAAATCATCTCAGGGCTTTCCATGGTATATGTGTACTGCTGTGTGGGGAACACTGCTGTCACATATACTTATACAACTGGCATAGTGACCTGGTCATGTTGTGTATGATTCAGCCATATAAAGAGGTATCAATGTAACTTTAGTAATGTGGCTTTACAAATAATTTGATTAGCTTATTGAGATTTTGAGAACTAGGAAATTTGAAATATTTCATCAACATTATTATTTGTAACCTCTTCATGGTGGAGTTAAGGATAATATGCAAGTGATTAGCCAAGGTCAAAATATAATTATAACATGCAATTAACAATTTAAAAAATAGAATCGTAACATGCAGAAGTGGTAAATAGTAGTAATGAGACCTTTGAAATATAAATTACCAAATTAAATTTGTAAATGATAAGAGAATTATATTCTTATACTTAACAGGGAAATATAACACATTTTTAGTTCTGTAGATGGCTAAATATTAATCATGGTTTTTTTGGGTTTTGAGATCACTTTGTCTTCAACAAGCATCATTAATAAGTTCAGGTGTGTTAAGCTTTTATTTTCATGGGGCATAAAGTTGGCATTTCTGATTTTCTTTTTAAATAATTAAATAATAGCAAAAATATGATAGTTTTCCCTCCTAAAACACAAATTATTAAGCTGTTAAAACTTGGCATGAAAATATTACTCTTATTTAGGCTTAAATTTTTAAAACTAATGGCTACTTTGGCTTGGTGTTACATTATTGAATCAAAACGCATAACTGCATGGTTTAAGCATCCTAATCATTAGTGCCACTGAATGATACTAAGGCAGATGCTGGGTAAGTGTTTAGTCCCAGATTATTCTCCTCTTGGGAAGAAGGAAGGATAAGAGTAGTGGCTGGATATAATTGTGAAATATTTACCAAGATTCTGACTCTTTTTAACATATAAGTATATATAACATTATAAGTACATACAACATATATGATGTTATATATACTTATATGACATATAGTTATACCAGTGCTGCCTTTTAATATATGGATTAATGGAATTGTGATTAGTGTTAAAGATAGTAACACTATACAAAATGCAGAGTTTAAAAATGTCATGGCACAAATTTTATTTTTAAGCTGTTGCAATTTCAACAGTAATATTTCTCTTGATTTTTAACAGCGAAATTATGGAGAAATATATCTTGATAAATTAATCCACAAACTCAGGTTGGGTGTCCTATAAAAGGTAGTTTAAACAGTGTTCAATGTTTTCTGTTTCGTGGATCGATGGACAGATGAGAGAGACAGAGAGAGAGAGAGAGAGAGAGAGAGAGAGAGAGAGAGAGAGAGAAGGAAAGAAGAAACAAGAGCATTCTTTTCTGTTGCCTTTTGGCATATCCCTTATACAGTTAAAGTCAGAGATGTGAGTGATAGGTGAGGGCAAGAATCAAGGAAAGTGCCTAGTTCCTCTCTTCATTGATAGGATGCCAAGAAATGCACCAGTGCTGTATTTATCAAAGAGGAGATTTTTGAAGCTTTATTCTGAATACCAGTTAGGACTGATTTCTCATTGAGTGACTGATATATTGTAGCTTCAGAACATTACCTCATTATTGAAGTACTGCAGTTTTTATACTTAACTTCACATTTATTCATTTAGTATATATTTATTGAACACCTGCTATGGGTCAGGCTCTATGCTGACACTATTTTAACATGTTTTAAAGTGGAGAGTCCTAAATAAGTCTTAGACATTATCCCAGAAGTAACATACATATAGGATATCTTTATTTTCATTTCCATAATGTTAAATGAGCTAATTCTCAAATCTGTTTTTTTATGGCCTAGAGTTTATGAGTGCGTTTTCTGCTGATAATGGAATACATTTTATTTTGATACCTAAGAATTTCCTAAAGATAGCTTTTGGGATAGAGAAAGTATGTTAAATTACACAAGTCTACATTTAAATGTTTGTTTTTATTTTGACTATTTCCAAAGCACATTTGCAGGGGTACTAAATTGTGAAGCTACTATAATACAAATAGTTTCCAGATGACCTCAGGAAACAGTACAAATAAGTGAGAATGTTTACAGAGTCTCAAAACAATGACCATAGTGTTTGGCTGAATGAATTTAAAAGTAAAACAGAGAAGTTTCACTAGCTTTATTTTGAAACTGGTTTACAGGGTATGTCTAACATGTTTTCCCCAGTTTTTCCATATTTAAAATAACATTTTATGTGCCAATTATGTGAATATTTTGGACATAACCAAATTTATGTCTATATTTAAGATTTTGTTATTCAGTGTTTTTAAAACTGATATGAAGACCACCTTTTTGGGTGGCTAAGGAAAATGATAGTTGGTGTCAGTTTTGAGTAGTTGATACTTTTTTATTTTAAATGTGCCAAGAGAGCTATTTGGTATATAATATTTAATAGCTCTTAGCTCATATGTATGGTGATTTTACTAAATGATTTTATACAATAGCTTAATAAAATTTCCTGAAGATTAAGCTGTGAAATTTATCACCTTCATTTAATTTTTGTAGTATAAAGTAACATTCTGCCTACTTCATATTCATAATTTATTTGTCTGCATGTTACCTGATAAATAAGCCTAAACCAAATATGTTATGTGCAATAAAACTGAGCCTTTGTATATTATCTAGTGCATTAGGAAAGACTATTTTTAAATATTTAAAATGTTCATGTAGAAATCAATTCAATTCCATTTAAAAGATAGATGACTATATTTTTAGTTTTGAGTAACACTGGTTAATATATCATTCCTACTATTTTATCTTTACTTTTTGCAGTGTTTTTAGAAAATAGCTATGTAACTTATTGAACTTATTTTAATGTTCCTGTATAAATATGCATAATAAATATTAAATTCTTATTTACTTTGTTTCAAGATTGGTCCTGGAGTTTTTGCAGTGCACATTATTGACAGAATATTTTATGTATCAAACTCTTTACTTGCTATATTCAAAATATCCCTCACATTTTAGAAATTCACTATTTCAGAATAAAATATCTTATAATGGGCCATTTTTACTCAGATTTCAGTATCTACCAAGGGTGAGTCTTCATCCTTTCATATATTTCTCAGAATGTTTGAGTTATTCAGACAGGATGAATAATTCATTAGGGAATTTATCTACCTGTTTTGTATTTAACCATTTAGGCTTATGTAGCTTTTTGAGATTATGATGGAAGTTACACACCATTTTTCTTTATGCAATAAGTATTTATTGAATACCTGCTGTGGTATAAGCATTGGGGATACAGCATTGTATCTTAGAGAGATTTCTGTCTAAGAAGTGAGGAAATCTCTCTAAGAAGTGAGGAAATAGACATTCTAGGAGGTGAAGAGTAAAGAAGATATATCAAATGGTAATATGGAGAAAAATGAAGCAACATTACCCACAAAACCATTTGGGAATTAAAGTCCACGGGATGACAGATATTCTAGGGATAAAGATGTTGTGATATTAGTCCTGATAGCCCCAAAGGGAAGCTATGAGTGTTGGGGCAAGAGGAGGGTTTTAATTTGGGGCCCTCTCTTCACTACTGCTAGTGGCAATATAGAAGCTGGGAAGAACAATCTTGACATATCTTCTCAGAAAAATATATGCACCGGATTTTTGTATGTAATTTCAGAGGTTTGTGAACCCTCTGAAGACTATTTCATACATTTAAAAGTTGTACTCAAGCAGAAATATCCAAAATGTTTGCATTCCCATATGTATAGTGATAGGCTCGTTATGCTGCAGTAACAAACAACTCCACATCCCAGTGGCTTAACACAACAAAAATCTATTTCTTTCTCACCCAAAGTCCACTGTAAGTCTGGGCAATCTGTAAAGCCAACTATTTTCCAATTGGTGACTATAACACAGCATGATTGTAGCTCGATCATTTCAACACCAGGCCTCCCCACTACGGCAGGGAAAGGGAGCATTAAAAGGTTTTGCACCAACAATTAAATTCTTCATCTTGGATGTGTCACTCACAACCCATTGGCCAGAAGTATTCACATCAGAAGTAGTCACATATCCCTGCCTAATTGCAAGTAGGAATGGGTAGGATGGGTAGGAAAGAGTAAGTCTCCCATAGGTTCAGAAGAAAAGGAGAATGGGGTTATGTGCGTACACTAGAATTCTCTCATTCCACCCTTTGGTCACCAAATAACCAGGTCACTCTTCTTTCTACAAATGGAACACAATGACTCCCTTTTCAATGGATACAGCCCCAAGACCCCTCCAGGCAGTTTTATTTTCCAAAACCAGGCTCTTTTAGGAGTGCTATGTCAGGTCGGGATGTTGCTCCCACTGGTCTGGCTACTCAGGAACCAAAAGGATATATTCTGTTTTCTACATACTTACTGTAGAGTGGTGGAACCATAACCACAATAAATATTCTCATTCAGAAAGAGGAAGAAGAATGGAAATATTGTTAGCATCTCTTATCCTGGGAATATTCGTGGTTAGACCTTTGTTTGTAAGAATTCCCTTCTCCATCATTCTCTGTGACCTCAGATGCCACCCTCTGGAAGGATATTTTATTATCCTCTTTGGCTCCAACTAAATGGCTGTTGAGGAATATGCCATCCTTGGGAACTGCACAGATTTTTTTCAGTCTGTTTCCTAGATATTTGGGGGCTAAAGTTGGTGTTTTTGTTTTTAAAGTTTAGAATAATCACAAGTTCTTTTAACCAGGGTTTATAGTTTCCTTTTCAGTACAACTCTTAAAAACTGAATAGGCCTTTTATTTGTTTCCAGTCAGATTTATATGCCAGTAACCATGCCATTTTTTTTAAGACCAATAATTCTTGGGGTGGCTATATTTCTGATTTCATACCTCTCCTGACTTTATGGCAGGTATTTTCTGTATAAGTTTTGATGGGAGAGCCATTTTCTTAACCACATTTTCATCCTCAGGCAATTGTTTTCCAAAATAGATTTGAAGTCTACACCTGTAGTTACGATCTTTGCTGCAAGGCTGAATTTTAATGATCCTTGTCACTTACAGGCTTTCTCAAGTTTATCTCCTAATGTTTGGAGTTGAAAAACATAGCCAAGTGAAGCTCAGAATTTTTGGTCACCTATTCCCTCATTTCAGCTTTTACAAATCAATCATTCCTTTTTGAGCTCCACTCTTTCTTATAATACTTTGTCAAATGCATCTAATAGAACCCAACACACTGTCTTATTTTGCAACCTCTTCCCTTATTTTGAAATTCATTAGGTACATTTTCTTCTTCCCAGGTTATCGTGGGTGAGAGTTGTACCAAATGTTTCACCACTGCATAATGTGAAGTGCCACGTGTCTAGCCTCCAATATTAGTTTTCAGTGTATGCCGACCAACCTCTAAGCTAATGCCACACATTTTTGGTTCTTTGTGCAGTACCCAAATCCCATTACCAATATCTGTATTTGTCAGGATAGGTTAGACTAATGCTGTATTAACAAATGACTACAGAATCCCAGTAGCTTATTCTGTGGTCATTGTAAAGTCTTTTGACTGTTTGGGGCTCCTTCTAGTCACTGTTTCCCATGAGGCAATTCAGTGATCCAGTCTGACAGAGAATTTATTTACCAACCTGTAGCTTCATTATCTGAAACATGTAGCCTTCTTGGTTAATGTGACAGTGCTTCAGGTCTTGTAAGCTTAGGTCCAGAAATGAAGTATCACTTAACCCACAGCTCACTGGCCAGAACTAATTCACAAAGTCCTCCCTAACTTGGGGTTTAGAAAAAGGCCATCCTTCTATGTTCTATGTGGATAATCAGATATTGGTGAACACTAATAATGTCAATGAATTAAGTACAATTAAGAACAAATGAATTACAGAAGCAGTACAATAGTTTGAATCACAAAAGATTTTAGGTAAGACTATGCTAGTCACTGAACAAAGTAGGCTTATCTTTCTCCAATCTGGCCTAAATGGCCATTACCTGTATAAAGCCCAGTTTAGTTAATTGTTAAATAATTAAAGTATTATTTTATATCCTCATAACTTCATTATGCCAGATACTACTTTTTAGGAGATGCTTAAGTAACAATATTACTTAAGAATTAAGAGTTGTATTTGTAATAATATGCTTGTACCATACTAGTTTTAAGTAATTTTTTATCCTTATAACTATATTTTTTATTGTGGTAAAAATATATATCATAAAATTTACCAGTTTCACCATTTTAGGTGTACAGTTCAGTTGCATTATGTACATTCACAGTGTTGTACAAACATTACCATTCATTGCTAGAACCCTTTTCTCATCCCAAACAGAAACTCTGTACCTATTAAATAATAATTCCCCATTCCTGGGACCTCTTCCTTTAATCCCCAGCAACTGATACTAGACTTTCTGTTCCTATGAATTTGCCTGTCCTAGGTACCTCATGTAAACGAAATTATACAATATTTGTCCTTTTGTGTCTGTCTTGTATCACTTAGCATACAATCTTTTCAAGGTTCGTCTGTGTTGTAATGTGTCATAATTTCACTCCTTTTTAAGGCTAATAATAGTCTATTGTATGTATAGACCATAGTTTTAAATAATTTTTCTTAAATTTTAAGATGGATGTGATATTGAACTTAATAACACTGTACAGGTTCAAATCTTGAGAAGATTATTCTGTATCTTTTCCACATCTCATTTAACGGTTTTCCATTTTACCTTGAGAATAACTTGTTTCCATAATAATGCAAAGTACTAACTTGAACGTATCCTCCCTCTGAATTTTCTACTTCAAGCACTCTGCAAACAGGGCAAGTAAATTAATTTACAAATTCCGCTGTTGTCATAAAACAGCAGATTGCCAAGACTGGAAGATGTGGCTGCTGAGCACTTTCTGATCAAGGTGCAGACTTCAGCAGTTCATATATAAGACAGCTGCTCAAACAGACACTTTAACAAAAACATTCTGAGAAAGTTTGGTCCTGAAATACATATATGTGCCTGATGTATCCTTCAGTTTATAACATTACAGGGAAATGCTATATGATAGTGATGTGGGAAAGGGAAATAGTTTGGCAAACAATGATTGCTTAGAGTGTCTCATTAAACTGGCCCAAGTAACAAAATTTGGCAACGGGTTTCCAAAATGATTGGTCAATGGAGTCATTGTTCAAAATATTAATTGAATCACTTGACAAATGCAAAAAATTCTGTGTCCTAATCAGTATGCTGGCCAGTTGGAGAGAGATGGAAAACACAAAACCATAAACAAACCCAAAACCCTAAGAACGTTGCTTCAACTTGACTAGGGAAACAAGCAATTACAAGATGATTATGGAAGTAGGAACATGTGAGTTTCACTAGGGCAATCAGGTTTCACAAAGATAGAATGTTTCTCTGATTAGAATGTTTCTGAGAAGTAAACTTGAAAATCAGGCCTTATGCAAAAAACTTGTAAAATGAAAGCCACAAAAAGCAAAATCAGAGATTACCATTGATGTGTGTATCCATTTTTTGTTCCATAAAATGATTTTAAAAATCATATTAGACTGTTGTGTGGTTTTGTGTGTGTGCGCGTGCTAAGTGGAAATTAGGGAAAGGGTCAAAGGAACGGAATTTCCTTTTGCCTCCAGGGATATCTTCTTGCACTCACACCATGGTGTTGCCAGGTAAATTAACGAACGTTTCTCCCAAGATGAAGTCTTATTTCGATTTTTATTTGGATTTGAAGACCAGCAGATCTTTACCTGTTGAGGGTTTTCTTCTAATGCTGATCCAGGAGTATCTGGGTTTGAAGTGTTGTATTAAGGAAGACTGAATTTTATGCAAACAGCATCTAGGTTCTCACATCTCTATCTTATCCATCTAGCTGTACTCTATTTTATTTCCACTGTAACTTGCGATTTCTTTTGCACCGTTCCCAATGAAATAATGTACATAACCTGGTGCACTTTCTTCATTCATGCTCAAGTTTCATGTTACTCTCTAGAAAGGCACTTTCCAAGATTTGGTTGCGAAATAAATACGCTATCTCGGGGAAATTTCTGTTTTCCTTGTCACTTGTAGATCCTAGCCTGGAAATGGATACTTTTCATATTGTTTCATACCAAAACATCATGGAATCAAACTATTCTATTTGAAGAATTGCATCGCATAAGCCCTTTCTAGAAGCCATCTTGTAGTTGAAAGAAGTAGCGGGGCGGAAACTGAACTTCCCCGCCACTTTCCCCTAAAGGTAACGGGGCAAGAACAAAATATCCGGACTAGCTGGGTCAGAGATTCAGCTGAGCAAGTGTCCCGGGAAGGGGGCGCGATGTTTAGAGGTTAACAAAGAGCGTGACCACTGCGGGGTCAGCTAAGATCTCCGCCATCGCCACCATCCAGACTGGCCACTTCGCTAACGTCCGGTCTCTCTGAGGCGGAGCCCTTGACGGAGCTCTGGGAGACCGAAGGCCCAAGTACTCCAGAAATTCGCAGCGGACTGTGCCCGGCCTGAAATGCCCCGTACACACTGAGCAATCCGCCAGAGCTGGTTCAGTGTGACTCGGGGACCTCTCCGTAGTCTGAAAGTAGCGCCGCAAACTCAGCCCCCTTTCCCGAAGCGAAAGCATTCTTAGCGGAAAACATACCTCTCCTTGATTAGGATCACGTTGCCATAAAGTAAATAAAGTTCAGGGCGCTCTTGGCTTTCTGCCCGATTAAAGATGAAAAGTGTTGGACAGGGTGCTGGCTACATGAAAAGGAAATGTACAGGAATGTTCAGACACTTCCACGGTGTTGACTCCAGAGTAGCTATGACTTTGCCCATAACAAAGATGGCGTGGAAACAAGTTAACCGGAGACCGTCACGTGCTCAAAGACCAGGATGCAGGAACAGTATGGCTTCAGATGACAAGCGGATGTTGTTATTCACTTCCGGGTGAGCGCAATTGGGCGCCATCTTGTCTTGTTCGTGAAGAAGTAGAAGCATCGAAAGGGTTGTTGAGGTATTACAGGAACGGTGGCGACAGCGGTGTTCCGGAACCGGAGTGGGTAAGTGGTCGAGAACAATTACGCATAGGGAACTGTCGGGCCATTACAATCATGTCTTTTGTGGCGAAGATACCATAACTTAAACACGTAGGCTGCGTACGCTGCTTGACTCGACCGCAGGAACCTCATCTCCTTAAAGCGGCGGCTTCCGCCTGACTTGGTAAATCAGAGCGGTCCTCTCGGTGAAAAGGTAATGTCCCCATTAAAGAGAGTGCTCATGACCCCTTTTCTTCTAACTACAAGAGTTTCTTCTCGGATGAGAAGGGACTGATTGTTGGGTTCCTGACCGGCCGTTAAGCACTGCGCGTGCGCAGTAGGAACCTCCTTGTGGGGAGAGGGGTGCAGGGGGGCGGAAGAGGCGGAGGGCCGAGACCTGGACCTTATGCGCTGTGCAGCTCCGACTACGCAGGCGCAGCCAAGGGCAAACGCGCCCTGTTAACTACAATTAGGTTCCTTAGTTGGTGTTTTTCTTGGATGTTTATCTAGTGATGGACATCTAGTGTTAAGCTTCGCGAGGGTAAAAGGTAGTATCCAATATTTCAGTTGTATTATCCTGTGGTGGATATTGTTGTCATCTGAACATCATGGGCTCGCCACAAATTTTGATTGTTAGTGGTTAATTGATAGAAAAGCAAAATAAACTTGGAGTTTCTGATTTGAGTGCACGCAAAAGCAATAATAATAATAAAAAAGCCCTCAGAACACTAGAAAGATTTACTTGTGGGACTGTTTTGTAAAGTCTCCTGGGGCTATAGGGAAAGTAACAGTAAATCAGATCTTTTGAGATGTTCTTGAGACTCTATATTAAATTTTTTTTTATTTACTAGTAGACTTTAGAACAGTTTTTGTTTTACATAAAAATTGAGCAGATAGTACAGAATTTCCATATAAACACCGCAAACTCCCGTTACACACACACACACACACACAAAATTTCTTTTGTTATTAAAATACATTAGTATGCTACATTTGTTAACACAATTAGTGGACCAATATTGACACATTATTAACAAAAGTTCATGTTTATTCATGTTTCTTAAGTTTTAACCCAATATACTTTTTATGTCCAAGGATTCCCATTTAGGATACCATATAACATTTGGTTGTCATGTGTCTTTAGTGTTCTCTTGGTCGTGACAGTTTCTCAGGCCTTCCTTGTTTTTGTGTCCCTCCAAAATTCGTATCTTGAAGTCCTAACTTCAGTACCTCGGAATGTGACTATTTGGAGATAGGGGCTTTAAAGAAGTAAAATGAGGTTGGGATGGGCCCTAATCCATTACGACTGGTGTCCTCATAAGAAACTAAGATCAGGACACAGAGGGAAGACGATGCAAAGACAAAGGGAGGAGACGGCCATCTACAAACCAAGGAGAGAGGCTTCAGAATGAAACTAACCTTACTGACATTTTGATCTTGAACTTCTAGCTTCCAGAATAATGAGGAAATAAAGTTCTGTTATTTAAGCTACCCAGTCTGTGGCACTTTGTTATGGCAGACCGAGCAAACTAATACAGTGACCTTGACAGTTTTGAAGAGTACTTTTCAGGTATATTGTAGGATACCCTGCTATTGAAATTTGTCTGATGTTTCTCTCATGATAAGACTCGTGTTAGGTGTTTTGGGGAGGAAGATCACAGGCATCATATCAAGTGTACATACTATAAAATGACTTATCCCATTGATATTGACCTTGATCCCCTATTTGAGGTAGTGTTTTGTCAGGTTTCTCCATTGTAAAGTTACTCTCCCATATCCACCCCTCTTTTCCATGCTGTACTCATTGGGAGGAAGTTCCTTTGCACAGTTCATATTCAAGGATTGGAGAGTTACACTCTTCCTACTTTAGAGTGGAGTATCTACATAATTTATTTGGAATTCTTCTACATGGGAGATTTCTCTCTTCCCTCCCATTTATTTATATCAGTATGGACTCAGATTTTTATATTATAATTTGTGTTACAATCAAATACTATTTGTCCCTCAAAGTTTTTCAGTTTTGGACTTTAGGAGCTCTTTTCAGTTGTCTACTGTGCCCCTTTGACATGTCCTCATTTTTTTTTTTTTAACACTTTCTTACTTCCTGGTATTACAAGATGCTCCAAGCTCATTTTGTATGCCCCAATCCTAAAAATCTGCTGTTTCTCTAAGGATCCCTGATTCCTTTTATCATAGAATGGTATTAGAACCAAGACACATGTACTTGTTGCTCCTAGGGGTGTTTTTTTCTTTAGATTCTCTCATTTATTTTTCAATTATCACTTTCTTGGTATTTATAACCAAACTCTCTAATTTGCCAGTATTTTTTGAATACCTCTCTTGAGCTGCAAGCTGCAAAGTATTTCAGTATACTTGGAACTGCATGTCATAAAATAGCAAAAATTTTTTACTGCATTTCAGATGATTACAAGATTAACTTTTACCCGTGTCATTTCTACCTAACTTGAATTGAACAAATGAATTTTTTTTTTTTTTTTTTTTTTACGTTGAGGTCAGTCATCTGGTGTGTAGGACTGAAATGGCAGGGGAGAAAAGGATTATTGCATTTTGTGGTTTCTAAATTTTGTGTTTGATGTGAGAAACATTTGACTGTGTATCAGAGGATAGGTGTGCTTCTGCATCTCTTTGATTTGCAATTAATGCTTAAAGGCTTTAAAACATACACTACATTTTCATTCTCATTCATCTCATCGGTCTATGAGATGACTTTTGCAAATATTAGTGATTGTCTAAAAAACAAGTATTTTTAAGAACCTCAAAGTAGTGTTCTAATATAGAGTCATCTAAGGAATAGGTAAGATGAATGATGGTCTTTTCTGGTTGTATTAGTTTCTTAGGGATGCTGTAACATATTATCACAAACAGAATGGCCTAAAACAACAGAAATTTATTCTTATACAGTTCTCCAGGCTAGAAGTCTGAAATAAAGGTTTCGCAGGGCCATGCTGGTTTGCACACGCTTGCCACACTCGCCTTCTCTCTCTCTCATTGTCTCTGGTCTAGGGGAGGATCCTTCCTTGCCTCATCCTACCTTCTCGTGGTTTCCAGCACTGCTTGACTTTCCTCGGCTATAGACACCCCTGTTTAGTCTCTTATTTATGTGGTCACCTGGCTTTCTCCCTGTGTGTGTCTGTGTCTCTTTTTATAAGGACACCAATCATGTTGGATTAAGACCCATCTTAATCCAGTGTAACCTCATTTTAGCTTGAATACATCTATAAGGACCCCTTTTCCAAAGGACGTCACATTCACAATGTATGGGGGTAGAGGTAGGACTTCAGCATATTTTCTAGGGGGACATAATACAATCCATAACAGTGGTCCTAGTCATAACTTACATTTTTATAGCCATGTGTGATAACTTGGATGATCTGATGCAAATCATGGTTGTTGATCTTTCTATTCTTCCCAAATCCAGTTGTTTCCAAGAAAATAGCAGTTAAATTGCATAAAGGGTAAGTCTTGCAGCCTGGATCATCAGTAAATCCTTATAAACTTGAGAAGTTAAGCCTTAGGATCTTTAAAATTAAGGCTAAAGGAAGAACTAATAAATTGGAATTGATTTTTGATGTTATAAAATCAGTAGCAGTATTAGAGTGTTGTTTTCAGCATTGAATATTAATATATTAACTTTATAACAAATTTCAATGAATGAGTAAAAAAAATTCATCACTTTATATAGGGAAAGCACATGGAGAATTTAAATAATTCTAGGACATTTCTTCTGACCTCAAGAAGATTCTTGTTTGAGCCAAGACAAAAACACATGAAAATTCAATATAAGTCCCTCTGTAACAAGGGTTCTTCATAATCTTTAACTTATTATGGAAATTTTCAAACAGTACAAAAGTACAGTGTAATGAACCCTGATGTACTTGTCACCCATCTTTAACAGTTATCATTTTCCAAATCATTATTAAAGCAATGTGTAAATGTCATTTTTAATTGTACGGGGCTATGTTATTTCATTAAACCATAATGAAATGAAAATGATTTTTATTATTGCCAGGTGTACCTTCATATTCCTTTTGTTTTCCGTATTTTGCATTTTTTATGTTCGTTAGTAAAGAAGATTTTATGGCGAAGGTGAAGTAAGAAACAGTAGGGCTTCTAAATCCTTGCCATTAAGTCACGTAAGAAGTAATTTTAAAGAAACTCTTTATCAAGCATTGTGCTAGCTGCTGAAACAAATTTTTATATTAAATATTTGAATATACCAAGTGTTTCCTTAAAACCTATCCCTTTGCAAAATTCACCATAACTTTAAATTTTATTCTTATGACACTGTTACCTTTTTTGGAGTAGATAATAGAAATTTACTCCAAATCCTTTATAAGAAAATGAGAAAGAGGTCATGTAATTTGCCCAAAGTCTCAGTTATATGATTTGTGTAATTTTTATTGCCCATACCAGTCATTATGGACTATGTTGGTCAGCTTTCTTTGATTCTTCATATCTTAAAAATAAAAATCTAGATTTATTTATAAAAATACTCATTATAACAAAGAATACAGAAAAATAAAAAATAAAAGATCAGAATTTACTGATCTCTGTTTTCACTCCCAAGAGCTTAGTAGTTTTAAGAGTTTTATGTAATTTAGGAATTTTCTCTATGAAATTGCATTTTTAAAAGAAAAAACATGATGAAGTGGCATCATTATTTATGCTGTACCACATAAATATTTTTTCATTTAATAAAATTTGAACATCTATATATCAGCATATAAGTCTACCTTATTCTTTTATATGGCTGAATAGGAGTCCATTGTACAATCATCTCACCTATTGCCCTTATATTGACTATCACTAAAAGATGTTCACTATTACAAATATGATGCAGGTTTTTAAATTACATGGTGAGTATCCTCATCCATGTTTTAAGCCCTTGAAGTGGATTTGGGGGGGACACAATTTTGATAGAATATTGTAATGCTAAATTAAATTACCTTCCCAAAAGACATTAACCATCGGGTGTTTTACCAACATCTTCATTCAGCACTCATCCTCTGTAGCCAAATCAAGTTTTTCAACTGCAGCTTTACTTGAAGCATTTTATTAAATAGCTTCTGACATCTTACTTCCTTGACTTTTACTGTCATCTGTGCTGCATTTTTATTCTGCTGTGCTTCTCAGTTTCACATCTCTTTCCATATTTTTCTCAGCCTAAGTATATTAAACACTGTTTGAATAGTAGCTTTCATAAAAACTTTTTGGGGAAAAAGCTTTGGAAAACAGTAAAATTGGAAGTGGTTGGTTTTAACAAACAAAAATAGCTACAAGCAATGCAAATCAAACTTGAAAATATGCAAGTAAAATCTTTGTGCATAAGAAAACTTGTAAGTTTTTTTTTCTTTTTTAAATAATAAAAGTTTCTACCTATGATATTGTGAGGAGTAGGGACAGAAAGATTTTTTCCAATGATAAAATGAAATCTGGTTAAGTCTTTGATCGCTTTTAGAGTAGATACGGTTTGGTTTGATCAACCTTTCCCCGGCCCATTTGTAAACTTAAGAAGTGCTATCAGAAATGATACTGAAAGTCTTGGTGGTGATATTAACCACTAGTTATGGAAACTTACTGTGCTGAGTTTTTGTGTTTCTCATTTAATCCTCACAATAACCCTATGAGATAGACACATTTATGTCCTCCATCGTACAGGTGAGAAAAACAAGGATTAGAGGGTAGTTTATTTCCCCACATTCACACAGCGAGTGAGTGATGTAGGTAGGCATCATGAACCAGAGCTTGTGCTTTGAAATCTAGGTGACAAATGATGATCAGAAAACTCAAAAGGAGAACTGAAAGAGTTGTCCATAACAACCATAAACATGAGTAAGTGAAAAAAAACTTTGTTTAGAGCAAATTCTAGAAAAGTAAACATATGGATTGGAAATGATGGTAGGGAGTCAGTACACATCATTTTCATCATTAAAATGGTTTTACTGAGTGTACATCTACTTGCAACTCTGGTAGGTACTGTACAGTGCTAGTTATAATGCCTCCATTGTATGAGTTTACAACCGATGACCGAAAAATCTATGTATTGAACTCTGATATGCCATTAGAGCTTTGGAAAACACACTATGCTAACGCCACATTTTTGGTTCTCAAATATGGGTGAACTGCTTCCTTATCATTAACCTTTAAAAGTAAATGGAAGGAGCAACAAACCATTCATTTATTTGTTTGGTGTTTAGCGACCACTATGTGCAGGAAGCTATCCTATACTTTATGGAAGATGAAAAGATGAATAGATTTGTCTTTCTGTCAACTTTTAGAAAGCTATTGATCTAATAGAAAGAAAAGGAAACTGTTTTCACCTTGCCGATGTTACTGAATTTTATTACCTTTTTTGTACCATCTAAGTTAATACTAGGTGGATGAAATCTTTTCAAATGTTTGTTCCTTTTTTTCCTCAGCATATATGACAATCCCTGAATTGCTTGACATTGTTTTGTATTGTTAACTTTTCAAGTAAATAAAAAGACATTTTGAAAGAAAAAAAAGTTAAAAAGCTCTGCTTTCTCATTTCTGATATACCTGTTGCCCTTCACTTTATAATGGTAAATACTTTGTTGTTATGAAAATGGAAAAAGAAATTCCAAATTTATTTGGAGATGGTCACACTTTCATATTACATCTCTAGAATTTATTTTTATTATAATTCTTCATAATCTAAGAGCAAACTTAATACTCTTTTTTCCCCCCCAGGGCTTAAGTAACCTTGCTGCTATGCTTTCAAGCTGTAGTCTGAATCAACCTAAATTTTAAACAACGTGAACTTCTGAGGTCAGTCAAAATAACAGTTGTTATGTCTCTTGGGTGTTTTCCTCTTACCTTTATCCCTCCCTTCTTCCTTTCCTACCTCCTTTTCTCCCTCCCTCCTTTTCTCCCTCTCTTCCTTCTTTCCTTTATTATTTTTAAATTAAAGTTATAAGTGAAGTTACTTTTCAAGGGCTGTAATGAGTCATTTAGCTTTTAGAGGGCTTTAAAGGTGTAGTTGGAAAAGTGGGGGGGGAAGGGGTAGAGGAAAGAAAATCTGAAGAGAGATTAGAAAAAGAAGTGTATTTAGCTTGGAATTGATACCCAGTTCAGTTTTTGGCCTCAACTGTTACGCTAATTAGGGTCTATTTTGCTATATTCTGATGGCATTATAATAGACTGTAATAGTGCAACTAGAAGATAAGTGCACTTGACCCATAAGTAAGTCAAGGTAACAAAGGAATGCATCTTCCCTAATGCACAGTGTTCTTTAATTTGAGAGGCTAAGATCTGCCATTGATAGAATTATATAACCTTGTGAAAAACGCTGCAAAGAGTAGAGTTGCAAACTTTTAAGAGCCTGCAATTGTAATAGCCAATTTTCCCATTTGAGTTGTTATCTCTTCTTTGTTATCTGGCTTTCCTACTTTTTATGATCCTGTAATACTAAGGCTTTTGTCTTGTTTTTAGAGGGTCAGCCTAGAAGGATTCATTTGGTAAACATTTCTTTAATACCTGCTTTATGCTAAGCTCTGTGGAACAAAAATGAAGAAACATACACCACTCCTTACCAATGCATCATTGGTTCTTGAACAGGGTTGTATATTAGTGTTAGATAAAGTACAAAGATATTAGTTTTGTAGGAATTTTAAGCTATTTATTAAAGTTCTCAAACTAGTTTATAGAAAAGGAGACTGGTGTGATGACCACACTCCATACTCATCAACTAGACTTAATAGCTATTAACATATGTTCTCACTCCCCCCTTCTTTTCCATGCTATTTGCATGTTAAAAACCTGGTGTTATAGACTGTCTCACCTTCTGGATTTATCTGATTGTTTCTTTTGATACTGTTTACCTCGTTCTTTTGTCCCCTATAATTCCTTGACACTAGAAGTGAGATCCAAAAGCTCAACTGGATTCAGTTAAACATTTTTGGTGAAAATATTCGTAGTGATTCTGGGGACATAATATTGTATCTCATGAGGAGATACCTAATAATCTGTAGAGGTGATATTTCAATAGCCTTTGAATTTGTGATTTCCCATTACTTTTTCTTCTAATATTGTGTGAATCAGTTGTTTTAGTAGGTTTGGCAATATGGCAGTTTTCCAAATCTGTTCTACCTTCTACATTCATTAGCTGTAATTATTTATAAGAAGAGTTTTCCTTCATTATCTAGAGCTATTTGGTTACCCTCTTTAAGGAGTCTTGGTTGAGAGAGATTAAATCACCTTTTTCATATAATTTTAAAAATACATTTCCAGAGATTTATATTTGGAAAAATTAAATTTTCCTCCTTTTTTGAGCTACATTGGTTTGAGCTATGCTTACCACCAAACTCTGACACCAGCCTTGACATGAAATTTTCTACACTTGCTTGCCAACTTAAAAATTCCAGTTGCCTCTGGCAATCTATTGAACAAGAATCTTAGAGTTCTAATCACATAAGTGTATCATCATATAATTCTATGTGAGCTTTTAAAATTAAAGAACTCTTCATTCTCATTTTTAAACTATGTTTATTTTGTTGAAGATAGAAAATCAAATATATTTTTAAAGTAAGGATGTGGGATCAAGGAGGACAGCCTTGGCAGCAATGGCCCTTGAACCAACAACAGTGGATGCAGTCATTCCAGCACCAGCAGGATCCAAGTAAGGAAACAAATTGAATTTGGAAGTTGGGGTTGGGGGAAGGATATATAGACATGAGTGGGAGATATGTGATGGGATTAAGGGAGATGGAATTGGGATTGGTTTATTGGATCAGTTTAATTTTTTCTCATAAATAATCTTGCCATAGCACACATATTAGGAAATGGATTTTTCTTCGGAAGACTTCCCCAAAAGGTGGAAAGCTTTGTGAAGATTTTACATTTTTAAAAACTGATTTAGTTCCTATTTTTCTAAAAGTGGAAAGTGTTTCTAAATATGTTATTTAGTAAAGCCTATATCTGTTACTAATTCTGAGTCTTACAATTCTGTATAGATCGTAGTAAACTGACCGTATGCTAAATCATTTCTCTTTTTTATGGAATATTTCAAGCATATGCAGACATAGAAGAGTATAGGTAACTTCCGTTCATTACTTAGCTTTAACAGTTATTAATACATGACCAATTTCATTGAGATGACCCCTTCCACTGCCCTGCCTTTATTGGGTTAATCTGATCCCTTTTTTTTTTTAATAGCTACATAGCATTCTGTTATAAGATTGTACTGTAATATAACCAATCCACTTTGGGATTATTGATTGTAGCTTTTACTTTTAAAAATAATTACAATAATTTTGTATGAAAAATTATTCACATGTCTAATTATTTTCTTAGGAAAAAAATCAAGAAGTAGGTTTGTTAGGTCACAGTTGCCCATTTGAAGTTTTACATACACATTGTCAAGTGTGTCCATGCCAATTTCCTTTTCCACCAAAATGTATGAGAATACCATTTTAATCTTTACTAAAATGAGATGTGAAAAACTATTTTATTTGATTTTGTTTTCTTTATTAATAATATTAGATCTTAAAATGTTAAGTATAGATATTTGAGAAGGAAAGGAAGATAGTGGAGACAATAAATTTTGAGTAAAGAATGGCTGATCAATTGTTAGATGTATTTTGACTAGAGAAGGGCACATTAGCTAAAGAAGAGTGGACTATGAGAAGGAAAAGGGACAGATAGCTCTACTCATTTGAGGTCTATAGGACCCAGTGTAGGCCTGGGTAGGACCTGTTTGAGGAAGAAATGATTGAGTTTGATCATTTGTTAAAAAACAAAACAGGAAAAAGACTTTAAAAATTCAAAGTAAGGTGCAGGGGATAAATTTCTTATGAGTTAATATTAGAAATTGGTTAAGAGTGTTTTTATGGAGTTCTTTTCTGAAACTCTTAAGTTGTTTAGTTTATTTTATAGCCTAAATATAGGTTATTTTCTATGTGTCCTTTCAGCCATAGCTTTCTGCAATATTTAAAATCTCTAGTAAGGAATAACTGAGATGCTTGTTTTCCAAGGAAGCACTGTTCTTTTAGCTCCTACATTCTGATGCTAAATACTGCCATGTTAAATTACGTTAGGCCAGATTGACTGGGCTGCATTGGCTCAAGCTTGGATTGCCCAAAGAGAAGCTTCAGGACAGCAGAGCATGGTAGAACAACCACCGGGAATGATGCCAAATGGACAAGATATGTCTACAATGGAATCTGGTCCCAACAATCATGGGAATTTTCAAGGGGATTCAAACTTTAACAGAATGTGGCAACCAGGTTTGTGGTTTATATTTTCCAAATTTTAGGCCTGTTTTTAAAATAAAAGGATTAAAATTAAATTGCTTAATTTGCTTAGTCTTATGACTTCTTGAAATTAATGCTTAAAGAATAGGCCATTCCAGTTAGATTTGACCTTGAAATTTTGTAGTTAAAATTATTCTGTCTCAGTCTGCTAGCATTGTGGCACTCAGTTTGATTCTTTTCTTGGTTCTTCATTCCTAGGCTGACAGGGGCTGGGAACACTGGAAACCTCACTTGGCATCTAGGGAAGAGAGCATCCTATGGTCTCTCTGTTGCAACCTCTGGCCTTTTCAGAAGCACCACTGGCAGAGCAAAACATGTCTAGTCTCTAAAGAAAAATTGTGTCACTATGTGACAAATTAGTCTGTCAAATATACTCTGCCCCATATTTACTTCCCTTTTTAAAGATAGTGAAGACCTTCCATGAGTTTTTATCTTGTTTGTTTGTTTTTTTACTTCAAAGTATGATTTAGATTCCTTGAAGCTAGTTCAGTTTTCCATGACTTGTGTTATTATTTTAAATTAGTAGTCTCTTCATTTATTTATAGAGGAATATTAACATTTGTGTGTGCTGATGGTGAAGTCATATCTCCCTTTCCCTATTAATACTTAACTTTTGTTTCTCAATGTAAGAATTAGAAAACTTAGAAAGTAATCCTCTAATATAATTTTAAAAAGGATAATAGATATTCTAATATTTGATATTGTGAGGTATTAATAATTCATTTCTAGTTTTCTTGAACCTATGCCAAATTTCTCTAAGTTTGAAAATATTTTGGTTTCCAAGTTCAAGTTTATAAATGACTCACCCTAGCATCCCCACTCCCCCAACTTTACTCTGCTGGTTTTCTTTGTGACTCTGACAAGTGATTTCTCTCTGTGTGCCTCAGTATCCCTTCCTGAAATTGGCAAAAATAATACCTGATTTCCCCTACCTCACGGGGATAAATGTGTTCATGGAAGAAAGAAACTATATAAAATCCCTAGGTATTATTTTTATGGTATTACTGAAGAGAAATAGAAAAATTCAACAAAGAAATTGCTTTGGATTTTGTTACATTTTTAAAAAATAATTTGGGCATTTGGTTTTCATTTATTTAGGATATGAATTGAGTGGAGTTAGATCACTTGAATTATTTATTAGACTTAATTCATTGCTTATTTTTAAGATGTACAAAAGGAGTTTGACCAAGAAGTCATAAATTTTTAAATCTATTTCATTACTGAAAAATCTAGCTTTCTTGAAAGCTTAAAAATCTGTGTTTATTTTGTTATAACCCCCTGTTGAATGTTTTTATGCCTAAATCCTAAATAGAATGGGGAATGCATCAGCAACCCCCACACCCCCCTCCAGAGCAGCCATGGATGCCACCAACACCAGGCCCAATGGACATTGTTCCTCCTTCCGAAGACAGCAACAGTCAGGACAGTGGGGAATTTGCCCCTGACAACAGGCATATATTTAACCAGAACAATCACAACTTTGGTGGACCACCCGATAATTTTGCAGTGGGCCCAGTGAACCAGTTTGACTATCAGGTGAAAGATATTTTGTTGCTTTAATATTGTAGATGTGCACGTAATCCATTCTTTGGAAGTTTGTTTCATCAAGAGTACCTGAGATATGTGTTTCACTTTTCAGTCTTGAACAGATAAGTGCATATTATGTCTCAGAAAAGTTATCAATTTTTTGAGTATTAAAATAATTAGATTTCTGTTTTCTGGCTTTTGATTTGCTTAAAATGGTATAAAGGATTGTTAGGGAAAAATTTGGATAAAATGAAAAATGTATAAGTGCCGTAGTTACATGATGTTTTCTAATTTATAATTTCAAAATGGTATATTTAAATGTTAAATAAAGTCTAGCAAATGCACAGTAGTCGAATACATTATTTTTCAATAATAGATTATGGTTAAGACATGAATAACATTGATCTTCCTAAATGCAGTTCCTTCTGCTATGTAAAGTTACGGCTTTTTCTAGTGTTACCATTTTTTTTCCCATTCTGACATGACATGTTTGTTAATGGAATTGTACATAATTTCCTTTGTAGCATCTAATTCATTCCTAGGGACATAGAACTCTATGGGGAATAGTGTCATTATGTGGAGCTTTATTTTCTTTAACTACTCTGCCAGGGTCCACCCTTCAATTATAGTGCTAGGTGACACTTTGAAATAACTGATCTCAGTTGTTATCAAGTGAGCTATCATAATTTAAATTTTTGATAAAACCCCTACATTATTTCACTAATTATATGGATAATGGACATAAAAGTAAAGAATATTCACCTTGAGACACTAATCCTCTTATTCATACATATTCAGATACTTCTTGTATACTCATACTTGGTGTACAGATGTGAGGTTTTGTTTGGTTTTGGTTTTGAAGAAATGTGGCAGGGAACATCTACTTACACCACATTTGCTTGGTGGATCCCCTTGCTAACAAGACAAAGAGCTCTGTTGACAACTGGCTTAGAAGGCCTCTGAAAATAGTAAAATTGCAAAAAATATTTAATGATTCAGTAACTTATCTTTGCTTAAAATAGATATTTCTTGCAAGATTCTAGAAACAAATGTACAAGAAGTAGGAAGATGGAATTGATTAAAAATTTTCCTGTATTTCCTAGTTACAGAAAAATTAACATATACTTGATTTTTTGGTAGTGGAAATATTAGTTTATAAATGGATTCATAATGAAAGTGTTCATATATATCATTTTCTGTACTCCAAAATAGTATATCAGCTGGATTTTAAATGGCTCTTTGCATTTATGTAGGCAGAAAAATCTTTTTCTTAAGGAAAGTAAACTTAAGTTCTTGGGGCTACAGAAATATCGGTGAATATTAGAACCATGGAATTCTTGGATTTGCTGCACACATGGATTTCTACTGTCCCAGTTCATAACACACGTGTGTCCCAGAGTGTTTTTGTACTAATGTGAAGAAAAATAAACTGCAATACTCTTTCAGCATGGGGCTGCTTTTGGTCCACCGCAAGGTGGATTTCATCCTCCTTATTGGCAACCAGGACCTCCAGGACCTCCGGCACCTCCCCAGAATCGAAGAGAAAGACCATCATCATTCAGGGATCGGCAGCGTTCACCTATTGCACTTCCTGTGAAGCAGGAGCCTCCACAAATTGGTAGCTATTAAAGTTTAGTGAACCACAGTTGGCATGATTTCTTGATCATAAAAAGGATATTTTATTTTGTTAAGTTCTAGTTCTAATACCTCTGACATGTTAGGAAAACCTTATGATTTTATAGTCAAAAAAAATTCCAAGAGGATACTTGTCTAAACTATTGAAAGTTTTGTATGATTTTCTTTAAAATAGATCATTATCTTGAACACAGATTTTGTGGTGAAAGATAAATTTATCATGGCCATAGCATCTTGATAGTTTCCTCAGTGTTGACAATTTGATACATTATGCCAATATATGAGCATTTTCCCCCTTTAAAACCTCCTACTTGTTCTTTGTCTCTGGTCTCTTTTTACTCTCAGTTCATCCAGTGCACTGCTCCCAGATTAATTTCGCTTTTATTATTTCACTTTCCATAGTGTTTTGGCAGAAAATTCCAATTTTTTTAACTTATTTCCAATGACAAGTTACATGTTTATGCTACTTTATATCCAGAAACCAAATCCAGCATTTAATGGGCCAGAACATTTAAGTCTTTTCCTTTTTATCACAAAGTAGACATTTTCGGAAGATTGTAACTTCTTTTTTAACTTGTGGAATAATACTTGTTCAAATGAATTCTCCATGTGAAAATGGATTTGTGCTTTTGTTTGACTCTTCTGTCTTCATATTTTAGGAAGCATTGTAGTATAGGTTTGGCTCTGAAGTAGCCCACATCATTACTTACTGGCTTTGTAACCTTGAGCACATCTTTTAATCTCTTTGAGTGTCAATTTTCTCATATGCAAAAGAGATCCAGTAATATTAGTGATCTTTTAGGGCTTTTTTTAGGATTAAGTGACATGATGTTTTAATGTGCTTTCATAGTACCTTGGCACATTGTAAGCATTAATACAGTGGTCACTGCTGCTGTTATTAGGGATCGTTTTAAAAGAAAGCATGATGTTTAATGGGTTGTTTTTATTACCTGTCTTGCTGGAGAATAATAGTATTTGTTACAAGGACTCAAATGGCACCAGCATTCTTTGTTTTAATTTACTTAAAATTTGTAGAAATTCAGGAATAAGGAACTTAGTTAGGCATTTATGACTTTTACTTAACTGAAATACAAATATTTTTCCCCCCCATGTGAAACAGATGCAGTAAAACGTAGGACTCTTCCAGCTTGGATTCGGGAAGGTCTTGAAAAAATGGAACGTGAAAAGCAAAAGAAGTTGGAGAAAGAAAGAATGGAACAACAACGTTCACAATTGTCCAAAAAAGAAAAGAAGACAACAGAAGACGCTGAAGGAGGTGATGGCCCTCGTTTACCTCAGAGAAGTAAATTTGTAAGTAGAATTCCTGTGACGTGAAACTCCAGTTGATGTCAGTGTGAGAAGGTTATTGAAATAAGTAGGTGTTTTAGCATATAAAAAGGATACTATTAATGTTACACTGTTATTTATAATATTGTATAATAAAAGTATAATAATAATGTTATAATGTTACTACTGAGATTACTTTCAGTAAGTATATTGGGGATTATGTTTTTATGCATGTGTTATTGAGGGTAGAGTAAGGAACAAAGGGGCAGTGAGTTTATAAAGCATTTCATTCTGGAAAGAAGTTATTCAGGGATGCTGGATAGGTTACCTTGACAAACACCTGTATTTTGTTGTGGTACAGCTAACTCTGTAGTGATGGATTATAAAATAAAACTAGGGCCGGCCGAGTGGCGCGTTGGTTAAGAACTGGCTTGGGACACCAGAGGGCCGCGGTTCAGATCCCACATATGAGGGCCAGTGACACTGCCCTCTACAGCTAAGATGCTGAGTGGCAGCTCGACCTGGAGCTGGGCTGCTGTGAGTCACTGG